AGTTGGATGATGGTGGTTGGTTGGATGGATGATGGTTGGTTGGTTGGTTGTTTGGATGTTGGTTGGTTGGTTGGTTGGTTGGTTGGTTGGATGATGGTTGGTTGGTTAGTTGGATGATGGTTGGATGGAGCAGGTCTAACAGTCTTGTCTTGTCTCGTCAGCATGTCCCCTTGTCTCCGTTCTCTCTGAGTGGAGACAGATCGGACCTGAAGAGACCGGTGAGTCAGAACCTGCTGCTTGTTCCTCTAAAGATTAAAAACCAGACAGGATGTGATCCGGGTCTGTAGGAGGGGTTTAAATCTGCTTCTGATGTCACTTCCTCTTCCTCAGTTCTTCCTCTGTTTATATCAAACATGATTCTCTTCTAACCTTCAGCTACACTTTAAGGTTCAGATCTTCAGAACTTAAAAGAGTTTATTTATAATTTATATTTATTTACAGAGTGTTTGTTCAGGTTGGATTAAAGTTCTGGTTCTGTTCAGTAAACCAGCTGACTGTGTGTTTGTGTTTGGAGCAGGAGGAGAACATGGAGCTGATGCTCAGAGACAGTCTGCAGAGAGTCAGGTACCCCTCACACCTCCTCAATGACCTTCGACCCCTCTGACACTCAGCCTGGTCTCTTTGTGTCCCCTCAGTCCCTCCAGTCTGGTCCCAGTTCCTCCGGTGGGCCAGTGGCACCAGCACGCCTCAGTGGTGAGAGTCATGCTCTTATTTGGAAGGTTCAGGCAGAGCTTCCTGTCGGAACGTTTGATTCTTTATGAGGTTTGTTGGTTTCATTCTGGATTACAGTGATCCAGTTTGAATCTGGATCACAGTGATCCAGTTTGGATATGGATTACAGTGATCCAGTTTGAATCTGGATCACAGTGATCCAGTTTGGATCTGGATCACTGTGATCCAGTTTGAATCTGGATTACAGTGATCTAGTTTGGATTTGGATCACAGTGATCTAGTTTGGATATGGATTACAGTAATTCAGTTTGAATCAGGATTACAGTGATCCAGTTTGAATCTGGATTACAGTGATCCAGTTTGAATCTGGATCACAGTGATCCAGTTTGAATCTGGATTACAGTGATCCAGTTTGGATCTGGATCACAGTGATCCAGTTTGAATCTGGATTACAGTGATCCAGTTTGGATCTGGATCTCAGTAATTCCGTTTGAATCTGGATTACAGTGATCCAGTTTGGATCTGGATCTCAGTAATTCCGTTTGAATCTGGATTACAGTGATCCAGTTTGGATCTGGATCACAGTGATCCAGTTTGAATCTGGATTACAGTGATCCAGTTTGGATCTGGATCACAGTGATCCAGTTTGGATCTGGATCACAGTGATCCAGTTTGGATCTGGATCACAGTGATCCAGTTTGGATCTGGATCACAGTGAT